GGAGCAAGATTTCAAATGCCCAGAAGAATAACAGTTTCTTTTATGCATTTGAAATTGAGGGAACTAAGGAAGATTACATAAAGGTGAGAAAAAGCAAAGCAGGGGTACAAGATAATAAACAAAATTATGTGCTCTCTTGAGAGTGCATAGGGCTAATTTCAAAGGTGTGTTAACCTAGATGCATAGAAACAATGGGCAGAGTTTGCTTAAGTAAAGATAAACCTTTTACTAAAATGTTATCCCTGGCTGGGTAGCTCAGTTTAGCTTAGACATCATAAGGATACTCAAGGCTGTAGGTTTAATCCCTGGTCAGAACACATATAAGAATCAAGAAATGAATGGAACAACATTCCCTCCCTCTTTCTCTAAAATCAATTTAAAAATTTTTTAAAAAATTAAAAAGGGTATATGTCTGGGTGTACGCCTCATGACCTGCCCAGTTTGGAATTTATGATCATATCACCCTGTGAGGTTACCTTCCAGAGGAGTCTTTTCTTTCTGTCCATAACAACTTTCCATGTTTTGACTCCCATTACTCAAAACAGGAAAAGCAATGCTACTCAGAGTGGGCTGGTCAAAGCTGGGAAAAGGGAGACTCTCTGGATATGCCTGATCATCGGAAGCAGCTGTCATGGTTAGAATTATGCAGCAACGCTTGGTGTAAGGCATGAGAACTTCCACATGCAAATGCTCTAGAAAATTACCATTCTAACAGATTTACATAGATTTTCAGTGTGGCCTGATAAGACTGCTATAAAAGTAACCAAAAAACACATTTTTGCACTGTCCCCTCCGTAGTGGCTACCACAGTTGTTTCTCAGCTGCTGCATCTCTGGATTAGGGGTACACCACCCAGTCAGGTCTGTACTAGCAGCAGCAGGCAAGGTAGTCAGGAAACAGTTCATTCACTCATTCTGTATGTTGGATACCTAGGCTCTTTTCCTGCCCCATCCTCCCTAGACCAAGCTAGACTGCCTGTCATGTGCTTCCAGAACACTCTTTACTTACCTTATATCAATGTAGTCTTCATATTTTAGTGCTGTTTAATTGCCTATCTTGTCTAGCCTACTGTAACGACCAGCAGAGCAAAGTCCATATCTATGTTGCTCACACTCTATCGCCAGCACCTAGTACAGTGCTGAACATAAGGTAGACATACAATAAATATTTTACTTGAAAAAATGAATGAGGCTCTATATAAGTCATTGTGCTAAACAGGAAGAGGGAGCAGGTTGAAACATAATAAAACCAGAATTCAAAGTCAGTGGAGACACAATAGAATAAGTAGGGGCAAAGCCAAATTTTGTGAGAACAGCAGCTTATACAAATTGAGGGTACCAACTTAAGAAAAGAATTATAAAATTATAAATACTAAGTTAAGTACCTCATCTTGGAAGAGATTCATTCAATTGAGGGAAATTTCACCTTAAGCTTCATTATTTCCATAGTAAATGCATTTCTGGTGATAGGTGACTAATGCACCAAAGTCTGTGAAATCTCTGAAAAATGATCAGAGACCTCTTCTTGGGAAAATCAGAGATTTCATAGAAGAGATAAATTATGAGCTTTATCTTACAGAAACACCGGAAAGTGGTTGCAGGTGGAAGGAACGTGCTGAAACACATGGGTGTAAAAGAGCTACCCCCTACCTGTGGGACAGTAAGAAGTACTTTCTGGCTGGCATGGGGCTGGGTGGTGAAAGACCTAGGAGAGTGGTTCACAAAGTGTGATCCTGGGCCAGCAGCATCAGCATCACCCAAACACTTGTTAGAAATGCAGCCTCTCAGGCTCCTGCCCAAAGGTGCCCAACGAGAAACTCCAGAGCAATACAATCTAAAGTTAACAAGACCTCCCAGCGATTCTGATGCAGTTAAAGTTTGAAAACCAAGGCTAGAAAATTACTTGAGCATCAGATGAAACTATTTTCTTATTACAATTTTAATTTCAGGTTGTTATACACTTGAAGGGAGATAAAGAAAAAAAGGAGTATGACGGAAAGAGAGCATTCTCTTCATCTCATACCCCAAAATACATTACAGATAAACTAAAAAGTTAAAGTAAAAAAATGGGTACCAGAAGATTATTTCAGCGTAAGGCTAATAGTAGAACTTGAAAAGGAAAAGATTAATAGTCTTGCTTTTGCAACAACTTAAAAAGTTTGTAACATTAACAAAATTAAAAAGGAAACAAACTAGAAAGAAGCATATGCAACATATATTTTGGATAAAAAGCTAAACAACCTGTAGAAAAATGGCCATAGGACACAAACTGAAAATTCACATACACACAAAAAATACAATGGCCAATAAATATATGAGAAAATATTCAAGTTCACAAGAAATACAAATTAAAATAGTATATTTTACTTGCCAAATCAGCAGAGCATTTTTAAAAATGGAAACAACTTAATTGTCCACTATTTAACTGTATGGTTGCTTATATTGGAATTCCAAAGTGCCATTAGCATTAAGAGCATAAGGAGTGTTCATGCCATATGAGATGGAAGGGGGGAAGCTATTACAAAATAACATAAAACAATAATATCCTAATTTTGAAAAACTTTCTATATGGATATAGATATAAAAATAAGGAAAAGGTATTGAGCAAAATGTTACCAGTGGTCAGCTCTGGGTTGTGGGATTGATACATTTTTCTTTTGTTCTTCATATACCTTTTTTTTTTTGTTCTTCATATACTTCTGTTGTCTCCATTAAACTATGCTACAAAGTGTGGATAAAAGTTCAAAGAATGATGATTCATTATCCCCTGAAAATTATAATAGAATATAACAAACCCCTTGAACTTGGTACTCTTGAGATTTGAGGGTTTTATGCGCACGGCCACCACCCTCAAGAAGAAGGAAAGTGGAGGTGCAAAAATGAAACTGGAAAACGTACCCCAGCCAATCAAAGAATCTCAAGTTGCCTCTGATTTGTGATTATGTTAAGTGACATGTAAACATCGGGATGCTACTCTTATTTACTTTGTTGGGTAAGTGCAAATAGTGTGAATTTGTTTGTTTAAGTAATGGGAGGGGCTGTTTGCTCTCACTATGAAATGTTTTGGAATAAAACTTCAGCCTAGAAGGTGAAGGTTTTGTTTGGCACAAGGCTACGTGAGCAAAACAGTAATTTAAAATGGTCCCATAACACCCCCTTGTGGCTTCCACTATATCCGACTGGGCAACAGCCCAACCAGGCGAGAACAGGGAGCGATACAGAGAACTCTTAGTAAATTCAACAAACACATGTGGATTGCCTATTCTGTGCCAGGTACTAACTGTACTAGCATAAAAATGCCACTAAATCTCTTCGTACTTTGTTCAGTCCATGCCAGCATTCGTAAATATTCGTTTATTTAGGCTGAGTACAGGCATAAAAGTTATGAAGTCATAAAAGTTGAGCCTCGAAACTAGTGTCTTTCAAATAAGGCTTTTTCTCCTGGGAGACAGTTAAACGGGTTCCGGGACAAGGTCTGTGATTATTACTATCCAGCAGTCGGTTAGCGTGTGACAATCAGAAAAAGCGCTGCGGACATGGATCGCAGCCCCGACTCTCCGAGTGACCTTGAGCAGGTGATAACCCACCTGGGTGTCATTCATCAACCTAAGAATCACTCAAACCCGGAGCTGAGGCTACAAAAACGAGTAGGACCTGCCCTCTACCCCCTCATAAACTCACTCTTCTAATTTGTAAATTGGAACTAACAACCTCAACTCATCAAAAAGATTAACCGCATGACCACTTTGGACAGATATCCTCATTTTTGAAACCGTGTCCACAAACTTGTTTATACTTCTTTAATTTAGTCCTCTCCATATCTGCCCATAGAAACTCCAGGTAGGAAAACAAATCATCGTCTAATCCAATCCCTATCATTTCACATTACTTTCACCAAGATTTCTGGAATCAAGGAATCCGGCTGAAACCTAAGTAAGGACTCAAGGGCTTCAAGAGTTTTCGCCCTCCTGCCCCGTGAACAGCATTCCTGTCCTGTGTGGTTCTTTGACGGTCGGTAAAACAAGGACGCTGGGTTGCCCTTTTTGTCGTCTCCTGCAAGCTGCTTGACCCTCGCAGGAGTTTGAAATTCCATGTGCCTAACCTAACCCGAGCAAAATCATTCTCGCACGTCCCCAGGAGGAGACGAGTGGGAAACCGGCTGCTGGCGCGAAGCGCTTCTCCCACTTTTTCAAGGGCGGGAGGAAGGGCTGGTAGCAGGTAGCGTAATTCCCTCTGCGGCCTCGCCTGGAGCCATTCTAGGGTGGAATCACCCTCTCCGCTAGGGAGGGGCGGCACCCTGAGCAGGAGGGGCCTGCGGAGGCGCACAAGTACCAGCAGGGGGCGCGGGCCGCCGGGTCACCCCCGGGGCTCGAGGCCGGTGGTCCCTCCCAGGTCGGCCGTGCGGCTAGGCCGAGCTACCCGGTCCCCTGCCCCCACTCTCACCTCGTTACCTCCCCGTCCTCCCGGCGGGCCCAAGAGGTGCGCAGCGCAGGCGCGGAGCGTGGCGGTGAGTGTAGCCACTGTATCTGGGCCTGGGGCCTGGCGGGCCGGGTGTAGAGCGCGCTGGAGGGAGAGGGGCCGCCCCGGCATAGCGCCCGGGAGCTCGAGGGCCAGAGCGGCACCGCCTGCCTCCGTGGGCCCACGGGCGGGGCTGTGCGGCCCCTCCGCCCGCGCTCGGGGTCCTCGGCCCCCGCTGCCGCCGCGAAACTACGCTTGGGCTGGCCCGGCGGGCCCCTGGGTACTGGTGAGTGTGAGGGAGGGGCGGGCCGGCCCGGCGCTGGGCTGGCTGCTGCCGGGGGATGAGGCGTGCGGGCGCAACTTCCAGCGGGGTAGGCCAGGAAGGACCGGATGGCATCTCTTAAACCCAAACGCTGCCTTCGTTTTATGGCGGGATGGCGGTCCCCTCCCCCATCCCGAAGGCAGTTCCACCCCCTGTTGAAGACTCAGCCACCCAGGCTCCCTTGGCCCCCTGCTCCTTTTCCCTTATGGCCCTTTAGTATCTGGGCTTGGGAGTCCCCGCTAATCGTCGGGCCCAGGTAGGGCTGTGCTCGACACGAGGGTGGAGGCGGCTGGGGCCGGGCATGCCCTGCGGCGTCTGGCCTCCGGATGCCTGACTGTGCCACGCTGGCCCGCGGCCCCCGCCAGGCGGCTTAGTGACCCTTTGGCAGCGTATCCCAGTGTTCGCGCCTCCAGCCGCACCCGCACCCGCACCCGCAAGCAGGGTTCGGTCCAGGTGCTCAAGGCTCCAGCCAGTAGTCTAAGCCACACTTTAGGGCCCTTAAACACCCATTTGGGTTTGGTTTTGTTTGTTTGTTTTTTTCCAATGCAGCTGAGGGACACGAGTAATTTGAAGCAGTTTGTCTCTGGGAAGACCTAAAAATTTGTACTTAAGCAAAGGTGGACACTAAGTTGGACACATAAGTGGGTTCTGATTCCAGCACTCCTGCAACATATTTGTCTTTAAATTCTTTTAAAATCTGGAAAACATATACTTAGTTTTAAATGAGGGCGGGCAAGAACCTGCTTTTAAAACTGTAGTATAAAAATGTAACTTTTTATTCTAAGTGCTTGTCTTATTTTTATACCAATTAAGAAGACAATATTTACATTGCATGAAAGGCCTTTAAAAAATGTGGCTCTATTTGCTCTAAGTGCCTATTATGTAAAGTCTGTTTTGTACCTAGACATTCTTATGGTCGAAAAAGAGACAGGTGGAAGATGCTGATATATGTTTTGTAAGTTGCTTCTTAAAAATTAATGTTTCTTTTGGCATGATCTCATTTTTATAAATGGAAAATGTTAATAAATGTATACCTTAGGACATAGGGTATATGTCTAGAAGTCTGTACACCAAAATGTTAACAGTGGTTTTTCTGGGTAAATAGTTTCTGGGTGATTTAATTCATTTAAAAACCATTTTTCTATTTTTTTTCCTCCAGTAACACGTATTACATCTGTAGTTTGCTTTTTAACTGGGGAAGTGGGAGTGAATGTTTAAGTCACATGTGATTCAGAATCTTCTGCATGTGAGGAGGACTGGTGAGCAGATGTTTGTGTGACATCCCTAAACAAAAGCCAAACTTCATCATCTGGGCAGGTATGCATACAAAAAGCACAGGAAAACATTTGCTGAAATAAAAGATGGTTAGCATTTTTGGTCTTGAGTGGGCATTTTGCTGAAAGGAGGTCTGATAAGCAGGCAGATATTGTTCAGCCCCTCAGTAGAAGTCAAACCTTTTTCTGATCAAGGTGATCCTATTTCTTTCACCTGACAGTCTGCAACATTAATTTTAATGCCATGCTTGGTTTTATTTTTGTTTTTATTCTTCATAATAGAAAGAATTTGAAGTATATTATGAAATAAAAAGAGGCTACTTTAACATGGTCGCCTGCCAGTTTTCAGCGTTCTCCCTGATACCTGTAGAGCATTTAGAACATGAAGTGTTAAGCTTTTGGCTGTATAAATAAAATTCTGCAAGTGTACAAAAGAAGTATTAGGATTAAGTCTGAAATTTTGGTTTATGACATAAATATGGAACAGCTTTTTTTTTTCCTTTTTTTGATTTTTGAATGCACTTGATTGGGATAGGCTCAAGAAATGCTAATTGTTTTGTTAGGTGAGGCATTGTGTATATTGATATCATTTCTATATCTCTCATGGTTGTCAGTTTCTTTGGGTGATTCCCTTCCCACTCTCCCTTCTGGTGGCTGAGTAAGAACTGGAAGCAAGATGTAACTTGCTGGTAGCAGAGATTAGCACTGAAGATTTACTTGCACAGTTAGTTGTTCAAAAACCAGGACTCAGAAGGCATTTTTTTCTCTGGTTCTGACACTTAGTTTACTTTTACTGAGTGTGTTTCCTTATCAGTAATATTGGGTGGGTTTGATAGTGGCTCCTCTATGTACCTCACAGGATTGTGAAGATCAAATAAAATAAGGTTAGGAAAATGCTATTAAAAAGCACTATCTTTACCACGTGTTCACATCACCTATAATGCTAATATACCCAGAACTTAGTGAAGCAGCAAAAATAATAAGTGCACCTCACTTCCTTACCACTAGAAATGAAGTGGTCTTAGTAATGATGGAAAATTCTACCTACTATGTATATCAATCACCTTGTTGATGAGAAAAGCAGCATATAAAACTGGTGGATGAAACCTCTTTTTCTGACTTTCTGTACTTGTCCATTACTATAGTTGAAAGAACACTACCCTGAAATGGAAGAGGTAGTTCTGACTCAGACACTAATCTATTACTGTATTTTGTCATGTATGATGCACATTTTCTTGCCCAAATTTTTGCGGGAAAAATAAGGGTATGCATTACACATGGGTAATACCTGAAATACTTTGTTCTTGTGTTTTGTAATTCTTTGTTATATAAAATATGTTCAAAAATAAATGTTAACATTCCTTTATAATACAAAAAACAAGTATCTAAATACAAATAAATAAAAAATTGAATTAAAAAATTAAAATGGAAGATTTTTTTTTCCCTGAAAGTTTGGTCCAAAAACGTGGGTGCACGTTACACATGGCAAAATATGGTACTTGAATTGGGATGATCACTCTGTCTCCCTATTTGTTTTCAAAGGTTGGACTTTAAAAATGATTGGATCTTTGTTCAACTCCCAACCCTACCACTTATTACTGACTTTACTATGCCTCAGTTTCCACATCAACAGCAAGGGATAAATAATAATGATTTTGAGAGAGTGTAGTGGATTTTGCATGTCACAGGATTAAATAAGGTAAGGCATAACCTGGTACACAATTGGTGCTCAGTAAGTGATCATTATTCTCTTATTGTTAAATTTATAAGGACTTAGATAGTTAAAAGCTCTGTGATTAGCTGTTTGCTTTCATTATATATGCTTTCATTATGGCTAAATAAATTAATGCAGAATTATGTTCCTATTTTGGTGTTAAGATATAGCTTTAGACAGTAAATTCACTCAAAGAAATATGACATATATACTCATATGTATCAACATATACAATTTTTGAGTACTTAATACAGTATATTCAAAAGAATATACTTTAGTTAATTCTGTATAACTTCCCGGTTGATTAAAGATCTTGGTACCATTGTATTTTTGCGTCTCAGAAATGAACTACATTTTGACTTGTGTAATGTTTTTTCTACAGGCATTTTTTTACATCTGTTAAAACTTCCCTGTAATTCACTTTTCCTCAGTTCCATATTACGAATTATACCAAGTAAGTGGGATGTGGTAAAATGAATGAGTCAATTTTATAACAGTCCATGAGAATTTAATCATCCACTAGTTGTTGCCATACTTGTTTTGTTCTCAATAGGGTGTTGAAAGTGAACTCATAAGTAAGAAAGGCATTTTTTTTCTTGGAAATTATATTTTAAACTTGTGTGTGATGAGTATTTTTCCTTCAAGCCAGACAATCAATACAGACTTGTAAAAATTATTTTCTAAGGGAGTGTATCTACCTTTTGCTTAAAAACTGTATCAAAACTTCCCCAATTATAGGAAATGTACCTGTTGTATTAATATGGTGCCATAGGCACAATTTATTATTTATAAAAAAATAATTTAAGCATAAGGCTTATTGTAATTATCCAGTTCTCACAATTATATCAACAGTTGCAAACGAGTTCTAAAACTTAGTAAGAAAAAAACCCGGATCTTCTGGTCAAGACAGTGACATAGACATGGCTCACCTCCTCACACAACCACATCAAAATTACACTAAAATACAGAACAACCGTCACTCAGGAACGTCATAAATTGAGTTGAATAGAAGTCTTGACAACTACGGAATTGAAGAAACCACATCCACCCAGGCTGGTAGGAGGGGCACAGACACAGAGCAGGCTGGTCCCATACCCAAGTGGATAAAAATTCAGGAGGGATATCCTGGGAGCAAGGAGTCCCAGCCCCACACCAGGCCCCCCAGCCCAGGGTTCCAGTGCCAGGAAGATAAGTCCCCATAACTTCTGGCTGCAAAAACCATCAGGGGTTGAGTTGGTAGAGGATACTGCTGGAGCCCTAAGTAGTTCCTCTAGGGGAACCCACACAGACTCACCAAATCAGACTCTCTCCATCTCAGCTCCAGCACTAGGGTAGCAGCTTAAAGGTCACCAGTGGTATACAGAGAGGAACTGAAGTGTCTGACATCAGGGCGAGCAGATGCCATTGTCCCTTTGCTGAGCCCTTCCCACACTGAGCCAGTTGGCTGGTGCCATTTCTGAGACTCCATCAACCTAGCTAAAACTGTGTGATCCACCTTGGAGATCCACAGAGGCTCTGCCCACTCAACTTAAGGGCCCACCCAAGCTGTCTTTTCATAAGAATTGCTGGTCTTGGCTCCTAAATCCTGTCAAATAAACAACAGCTGGCTTCAGGGGGCCCAGAAGTAGCCATATTAGAGTCACAGTTTGGCTTCACCCGGGAATCTCCAAGCCCAGCACAAGTAGCAGCCATTTCAGGTTGCTTTACAGCTCAGGTGGGGTGCCCTCGGCAAAACGCAGGTGAGGGCTGACCATGGCCTGCACCACCTGGGAACTCCAGGGCCAGTGCACCCAGTAGACAGCTACAGACCATGTCAGACGACCACCACCCTGCCCCTGCACAGCTGATCCTCCACAGAGGGTGGAGGTTTGTAGTTACTGGTCACAGCCAGTCCTTGCAGCTGACTGGCCTGGGTAAATCCCTCCCATCAGTCTGCCAAGGCTCAACTACAAGAGGAAGGTGTACTCGGCCCACACAAAGGGCGCATCTCAAGTACTCAGCTTGGGTGATGGGAGAGGCTGTGTCACTGGACCCTACAGGACACCTACTACATTAGGCCACACCACCAAGACCCAGAGTCAAAGCAGCTGTACCTAATGCATAGAAATAAACACAGGAGGGCTGCCAAAATGAAAGAACAAATGAAAACTCTAGAAAAAGAGCTAAACAAAATGGAGATAAGCAATTTATCAGATGCAGAGATCAAAACACTGGTTATAAGATGCTCAAGGAACTTAGTGAGGACCTCAGCACCATAAAAAAAAACCCAAGTCAGAAATAAATAATACACTAGTTGAAATCAAGAACAATTTACAGGGAAAAAACAGTAGAATGGATAAAGCTGAGAATCAAATTAATGATTTGAAACAAGGAACCAAAAAACAACCACACAGAAAGACAAGAAGAAAAATCCAAAAAAATGAGAGTAGTATAAACAGCCTCTGGCACAACTTCAAGAAACCCAACATTCACCTCATAGGGGTACCAGAAGTAGAAGAGAAACAGCAAGAAATTGGAAGTCTATGTGAAAAAATAGTGAAAGAAAACTTCCCTAATATGGTGAAGGAAATAGACATGCAAGTCCAGGACACCCAGAGGGTCCCAAACGAAATGGATGCAAAGAGGGCCACTCCAAGACACGTAATTACAAGGTCAAAGGTTAAAGATAAAGAAAGACTCTTAAAAGCAGCAAGAGAAAAGAAGTTAGTTACTGGATGGTTACCAGATGGGAGAGGGGAGGGGGAGAATGGATGAAGAGGTGAGGAGATTTAGAAGTCCAAATAGGTAGTTACAGAATAACCATGGGAATGTAAAGTACAGTGTAAGAAATGGAGCAGCCAAAGAACTTATACACATGACCCACGGACATGAACAATGGTGGGGGGATCGCCTAAGGGAGTGGAGGGACACTGGGTGGAGGGAGGTAAAAGGGGGAAAAAATCAGGACGACTGTAATAGCATAATAAATAAAATATTTTTTTAAAAATCTTAAAAAGAAAGAAAAAACAAATTTGTGTCCTGACTTGAAACTTGATTAGAAAAAATAAATTGAAAATATAAACAGGCATTTTTTAACATTCTCTTATGCAGTAGATTTTCAGGTGGCACACATATTTCTTATTGACAATAAATTATTGGGCTAGAGGAATTTTTATAATATTATTGACAGTAGTTATTTGTGACATATTTGTTAAATTTTTTTTCATTTTTCTCTTAGATTGAAAGATATGAATGAATATCCTAAAAAAAGAAAAAGGAAAACTTTACACCCTTCTCGCTATTCAGGTCAGTGAATTATTTTAAAGTTGGACCATGGATTAATTTCCATGAAATTATATTCCAGTCTATTTTCTCATAAGTGATTGGATGAGAGTTGATATCTGGGTCAATTTTTAGAGAAGAGAAAATTTTAAGTAAATTCTCTGAGTATAACTCTTCTTTGTCTGCCATGTGCTAGGCACATATCAGGACTTATAAACATTATTTAATCCTCACAATTCAGGGTTTATCGATATTTAGAATTAAATATCCAAGATTGGGTATTTATGCAGCATAACCGAGACTTGCCTGTGGGTTTTATAAGCTTGTGCTTAACGCACAACATTAATCTTGTTAAGAAGGTATTTTGGATGATTGGGAAAAAATCTTCATCCTATATATTACTTTCAGAAATGTGAACTTTCCTTTTGTGTAATTTTAGATTCTTTGGTTGAGGTTAGCTTTACTCTCTTGACGATATTAAGAGGTCTTTGTGGCCATCTGTAATGTGCCTTACATACAAGTACTTGGGACAGTCTCAGGCATACCTGTTAGCTCACCCAGCCTACACATTCTTCATATCTAAGGAAATTAAGTCTGTTTTACTGCCTACTGGTCTTCCCAAATAAGACTTGAAATGTCTATATTCAGAATCCCTAACTTGTTCTCAGACCATTTATCCCATGCATTATGCTTTCTCTGCACTATATGGAACATCTTGGTAGTATTTTTTGCAGTTAACATATTTATTACATATTTTCATTTTGTGGGATTCTTACAGTAAGACAAATGTATCTTTGTGTGCTTCATAGTATTATATTTTATGTTGTATATATTGTGGTTCTTTCAAAGCTCAGTGTTAATATCAGATCTGAAATAACAAAAGCTATCAGATTTGAGGGAACTGTTACTTTATTACAGATACTATAAAAATTTATGTTGGATAAAGGGATGGCTGTTATTAAATGTATATGTGTTTACTGTACTTAAAATGTTTTAAATTTTGTCTTATGTTCAGATTCCTCTGGAGTAAGCAGGATTGCAGATGGATTCAATGGAATTTTTTCTGATCATTGTTATAGTGTCTGTTCTATGAGACAACCAGACTTAAAATACTTTGACAACAAAGGTATATCTAATATTTTCCAAAATGTGTTTTTCTTTGTTATTTTTATAATAATTTCTTGCTTATTTGGAAATGTGGGTGAGTTATAATTTCAAAATGGATATGTTTAAGTTTGTTTAAATGTAAGAAAACAATTTTTTTGCAATAAGTAAATTTTTATTTTTAATGTTACTTCAGATATATAAATAAAAAACACATTTGCCTAAATCAGTTTTAGTTGGCTAGGAATGGATGGCAAAGCAGTACTGACCCAGAGTTTGGAGTATTTATGGTGGAAGGTTAACAATAGTGTTATACATGGTTCTTCCACCCAGCTATACATTTTGATCTGGAAGGTAATGGAAGGAAAGAACAGAGGATGAAGGATTTGGTCTTTCTCAGTCTTTCATTTTCTCTTCACTTCTGTTATCTAGAGTGTTGAGTGAATGGTAACAACTTTATTTTCTCTTTCTTCTGCAAACATCAAAATTCCAGTTCCCTTCAACACCTATTACAGACAAAGAAATAGAAATTAATTGAAAATCATATGGAGTCAGAAACATCAGTACAAACTCATGTTTTGCTTAATATAGACATAGATGTTCCCTAAAGGAATTTTTATAGGTGGATCTATATATATGTGGCAGTGTACACAAACATTTTATGTTCTATTAGCAGAGGGGGCATAAAAAAACGACACCCTGGTAGCAGTGAGCATGTCTAGTGCCCAGATCTTTGTTTCTAATACAGTTCTCCAGTGAAAGGAATTAGGGCTTCTTGGAGAAACGGCTGATTCTAGTTTTGGGAAAGGAAATACCCATGATGTCCCTGAAACACCTTATGGTTCTAGAAAATAAGGAAGTACTCAAAACTCTTACACAAACGCACACATACCCATGCATTACAGGTATGCCAGAAGAGCACAGGAGCCGATCAAAAGAGCTCCCAGTAGCCCTGGCCACAGAACTCAGTTGGTTAGAGCATTGTCCCACTATGCCAAGGTTGCAGGTTCAGTCCCTGGTTAGGACACATGCAAGCATAAACACAATGAATGTGTAAATAAGTGGAACAACATATCAATATTTCTCTCTATATATAAAATAAATATTTTTAAAAAATTAAGTTAAAAAATTATAACCCAAAGTATAAAATAAATAGCTGTGGGTCCATATTGATACACATAAGTGATTGAATAAATAAATGAGAAGAAACAAATCTCTTGTACAGAAGAATTCCAAATTATTGATGTAGATACTCCTCCCTCAAGGACGTAGAATATATATCTTCACTTCTTAAGTGTGGACTGTGACCATCTTCCAAAGCACAGAGTATGGAAAGTAAAAGGAAGAGTGACTTTACAGAGGAGAAACCTGATAAATACTATCTCAACAAGGTGATCAGGGTCAACATCAACAGTAATCATGTTAATCATATGGACTGTTGATAAGATGTGATAAAAATGTCAGTTTGCCTCTCTGGTATGCGCCCAGTAACCCATAATCCCAGTTGAATTATGCAAAACCAACAGGCAAATTTTAATAGTGGGACATCCTACAGAATACCTGATCCATCCACCTCAAAATTGTCATGGTCATCAAAAACAAGGAAAGTCTGAAAACCTGCCACAGCTAACAGCCTAGAGAGTCTTGAAAGCCAAATGTCATATGGGATCTTGGAACAGAAAAAGGACATTAGCTAAAAACTAAGGAAATCTGGATGAAATACGGACTTCATTTAATAAGAGCTTACTAGTATTGGTGATTAATTGTAACAGATGTACTATATAATATATAAGATGTTCATAGTGAAGAAACTGTAGGAATAAATGGGAATTCTCTGTATTACTCAAATTTTTTCAGTAAATCTTAAACTTCTAGAAAATAAAGTCTGTTAAAAACAACGATGTGAGATCGAGCCCACTTTTCTCTACTGACCTGTATTTCAGTTTCTCCATGCTAACTTTAAAACATTGGGGCTGGACTGAGGAAATACAGGCTTATTCAAACTCAGTAATTTAAACTTAAAATTCCTACATAACATTAAAAAGTGTGCTCTAGTCCAAATGGGCATGGAAGCAACAACAGTTGTCTGTATGGACAGATTTTCTGTGTACCTGTGATATACATAACATCTTTTTGTGGCTAAATCTAAGTCCTTAGTTTCTGTTGGAGCTCAGAACTACACTTAAAATATTTGGTGCTTTATGTTATAATACTTAATGTTTAATGCCTTGACATAAAAAATAAGTGTTTTTCTAAATTTCCCTTTACAGATGATGATTCCGATACAGAGACGTCAAATGACTTGCCAAAATTTACAGATGGAATCAAGGCCAGAAACAGAAATCAGAACTATCTGGTCCCCAGTCCCGTACTTAGGATTCTAGACCACACTGCCTTCTCTACAGGTTAGGGAAACTAAGTAGTATCATTTGCATATTTTTATAGATCCATGAAGAAATAATGCATAAAATATTTGTTGCCAGTTATTTAATAGGTTGTATTTAGTAATAGTAATAATAGGCTTGCTTTATTTTTCAGATAAATCTGCTGATGTTGAAATTTGCGATGAGGAGTGTGATTCACCTGAATCAGTCAACCAGCAAACACAAGAAGAGAGCCCTATAGAAGTTCACACTGCTGAAGATGTTCCGATTGCTGCAGAAGTACATGCAATTTCTGAAGATTATGATATAGAGACCGAAAACAATTCCTCTGAGAGTCTCCAAGACCAAACTGATGAAGAGCCGCCAGCTAAACTTTGCAAAATCCTTGACAAGAGCCAAGCTCTGAATGTGACTGCCCAGCAGAAATGGCCTTTACTGAGAGCGAATAGCAGTGGCCTCTATAAATGTGAACTTTGCGAGTTCAACAGCAAATATTTTTCTGATTTAAAGCAGCATATGATCCTGAAGCATAAGCGTACTGATTCAAATGTGTGTCGAGTATGCAAGGAAAGTTTCTCTACCAACGTGCTCCTGATCGAACATGCCAAACTGCACGAAGAGGACCCCTACATTTGTAAATACTGTGATTACAAGACGGTCATTTTTGAGAACCTCAGCCAGCACATTGCAGACACCCATTTTAGTGACCACCTTTACTGGTGTGAGCAGTGCGATGTACAGTTCTCCTCAAGCAGTGAGCTCTACCTGCATTTCCAGGAGCACAGCTGTGACGAACAGTACTTGTGTCAGTTCTGTGAACATGAAACAAATGATCCGGAAGACTTGCATAGCCATGTGGTAAATGAACATGCATGTAAATTAATAGAGTTAAGTGACAAGTATAACAATGGAGAACATGGACAGTACAGCCTCTTGAGCAAAATTACCTTTGACAAATGTAAAAACTTCTTTGTATGTCAAGTATGTGGTTTTCGGAGTAGACTTCATACAAATGTTAACAGGCATGTTGCTATTGAACATACTAAAATTTTTCCTCACGTTTGTGATGACTGTGGCAAAGGCTTTTCAAGTATGCTAGAATATTGCAAACATTTAAATTCACACTTATCTGAAGGGATTTATTTATGTCAATACTGTGAATATTCAACAGGACAAATTGAAGATCTTAAAATTCATCTAGACTTCAAGCATTCGGCTGACTTACCTCATAAATGTAGTGACTGCTTGATGAGGTTTGGAAATGAAAGGGAATTATTAAGTCACATTCCAGTCCATGAGACAACCTGATTATCCTCTTTAACTTCCATAATGCTAATGTAAAATAATAAATACAACTTTTTTGGAGATGTTAAGATGGGTGATTTTAAACAATCTATAAGAATTGCTTTTAACAAGTTAGATTTTTAATTGTCCAGTTTTTGTTTTTGTTTTGGCATTGCTACATTTTTCAGTATACGATTGTATCCAAAATACAGTTTCAGTGCATGGTAGTGCATAGTTTTAACCACTCTTGGCGTCTTATCATCCTGTGCATGTGCTCGGATTTCATGAATGAATAAGAAACAAATGTATAAAAAATACTGGGCTAGTTTCCCTTCCATAACGGTAGGTGCTATTAACTTTGTGAAACTCAACACAAGCTTATAGTTTTTCATGTATGAAGTCATTAAAGTACTGCAGTACCAAAACTAAAATGCAACGTAATACACAGTTAAGTCCACTGATATTCCCATTAATAAGAATCCAGGCTCTCCTTTTGCATTCCCCATCAGTAATTATCCCTAAGGCTCTCATCTGAGTGATTCTTCTAGTAGCACCTGAAGGCTGATGTTACAGTAGGAAGAAAAGATCCAGTTTTCTTGGCAATCTTCTTTGTTTTAATTCTCACTTTATTTCAGCCTTTATATATGTGTTAAGTAATTTAAGGTGAGGATGAAGAGGAACTGGTAAGGGATTAGACATGAAGAAGTAGCATTTCATAACTCCTAACCTGTTCACATTTTATTTTCAGTTATGCAGCTGCAAAGTCATGTCCAAACTTCTGATGTCAAATTATTTATTGACTGAGCCCTAGCTGGTGTGGTTCAGTGGGTTGAGCACCGGCCTGAAAACTGAAGGGCTGTAGGTTCGATTCCCAGTCAGGGCACCTTCCTGGGTTGCAGGCCAGGTGCCTAGTTGAGGGTGTGCGAGGGGCAACATCTGGTTGGTCAGTGTTTCTCTCACACATCAATGTTTCTCCCTCTCTCAAATAAATAAATAAAATCTTAAAAAAGAATTACTTATTGGTTGAGAAAACCCACTGAAATATTAATATAAAATCAGGAAAACCTAGGAGAAAAGACATTGCTGGCATGATAATGTACAACTTACTTTTGGTAATGGTAAATAATCTTAGCTTCTGTATTGGCTTCCTGTGGCCGATGGAACAAATTACCCCAAGATGAGTGGCTTAACAGAAATTTATTGTCACAGTTCTAGAGGCTAGAAATTCAGTATCAAAAAGTTGGCATAGTTTGTTCCTTCGGAGGGCTGTGAGGCAAGGATCTGTTCTGAGCCTTTCTCCTTGAATTGCAGGTGGCCATCTTCATGTTTACAGGGTATTCTCCCTGTATGCAAGTCTGTCTCCAAATTTCTCTTTTTCACAAGGACATCAGTCATGTTAGATTAGGGCTCACCCTAAGGACCTCATTTTCATTTGGTAAAGACCATATCCCCTGAATAGGTCAGATTTTGAGGTACTGGGGCCCAGGACTTGAACGTGACTTGGGAGAAGGGGGAGACAACCACAATTCAAAAGCAGCTTCTTAAATAGCAGTATCAAGAAGATAGAATTTTGTGTATCACTGGCTTCAAAGTTAATACACACTGCAGCTAACAATATTGTTCAGAGATGTTGATATAGTTGAAAAAAACAATTTATGACCTATGACTTTTTCCCACTTCAAAAACCATGGGATTTTAGTCTATTTTGAGAATGTTGGCAGCAAAAAATACTTTCAAAACCAATCATTTATATCTCTACTATTTTGTCGTGTGTATACCTGTATTCCAGAACCTGCCATTCCATCTGACTGTAACTTTCTGGGTAGGGTCGTTTGATACCAATGTTTCTGAGGAGACTTATCATTGTTTAAATTAGAAAAATACCTTAGAAACCATCTCATCTAAACCCTCTAGTTTTCTAAGTTTCTCGTAGAAATGGAAAGTTAGGTTGTTATTTGGGCAAGGTCACAAAACCATTGTAACAGACAGGAGTGAATCCAAGTTATCTGGCACCCAGTCTAGTAATGTTTCCATTACACCATGTTACATAAAAAACCTAAGCTTTGTCCTTGGGGTGTTTTTCATAACCACTTAACATAGCCAGCCAGCTGCCTTCTTGGTAATTTTGTTTATATACTTCTTTGATGTACATGGAGCCAGGAATTTCAGGAAACAAACATAAGTAATACCTTGATGGTGGTTTAAAATTCTGTCCTTTATTGCTTTACTTTTGATAGGTGTTAGTAATCAATGAGACTGATGAAATAAAAAAGATACTAAGTTCAAGTTTTAGAAACATATAATTTTATAATTTTGATGAATCTGCAGCTCGAAGTGACATCCCACTGACCACTTGTTCCTACAACAACTTCTGGCTTTGATTCAGCTATCAAGTAAGTCTGTGACTGACTAGAAGTTCCTGAGGTCTATATTTTTAGCTTAATGAACTTATTTGGAAAAATTTACCTACCTTAAAAGAAATTTTTCTATTTTGGGGTTTAGATCCTTTCAAAGAGAGGCATTTCCACTGTACTCTGACTTGAACCACAGTTCAGGTGTAAGAAAACATAACTGACAGTGATGGTTTTTAGGACTACAACAGAATTCTCAGCAGTGAACATTGGCGATGGGTCATTTTTTTCCTTGCTGTTTTTATCTTAACCTTGCAGAGTTACTACTTTGGAAATTCCAGAGCATTTCCCTTGTACTCCAAAACTTCAAAGTGATTGTGCACTACTCAAGAACCTCTCCCTCTTGTAACTTCGCCAGTGTTGCAGATTTAAATCACCTTTCTTAGATTTCTCTCAGTGTATGTCATCACATATTTACCAGTTCCTCAGTTTCACTGGGCCTATAGCAGGTTGTTAGGTGGGTTCTGAATTGTTAGCAAGTGTGGTATTTTTCTATCCAGAAAGTATCCAGCCATGTGCTATGAAAAAGACACTGAAGAAGATGCAAGATACAAGAAACATTTTACATAGGACAATAATGCCTCAATCCCCTTCAAAATAGGCACCTTGGGACCTCACACAGTTCTTTAATCTTCGTTGACTGCAGCCTGTAGACGTTCAACATTTTCAGGTGTCCTGCTTGTTTCAGGCCTTCGAGAACGTGGGTCACTTTCAATAGATTCTCAACCATCTGTGAAGCATTTCTGCCACACTTAATATGTGCTGCAGTCATTGCATCGTCACCAAAAGCCTTCTGAATCATGTGAATAATTTCCACGGAGGAATGCTCAAACTTAGCACAAAATTTGATGCAGATCCATTGCTCTACTCGCTCAGTCATTTTGAATGCAACAGCCACACAGTACACATGCTCACTCAACAGCATCTACCGACCCCACTGACTTGTACAGTGAAGTCATCATTGTTTACACATGTGCATTCCAGTCCACTCTCCTTGGCTGCTAGTTTACACTGATGTTGCACAAACAGTTCCTTTTATATTAACAATGGCTCAACTTTTTCTGGACAGACCTCGTCATATATAGGCTTTTCTTGTTCAACAGGTTAACACTTACTAATTTTTAAATCTGATTTTAAAGAATTGAATTACTTAATTCTTGGCAACTTTACCATTAACCTTCACTTTGCTTGTTTTGTCAGTGTTACTACTTTTTGCCACCAATTTGATACAGTTTTCAAACTACTGTGATTAATACATAGTGAAATTTTAATGCCTAAAAAGCAGTATATGTAAATTTGAAAAAGTTAAAAAGTGGCTAGAGTCCTCTTGGGAAGCAGATTGGCTTACAAAAAGGAAAAATTATACCTGTTAAGAATTTAAGTGAAAATAAATAGTTAAGACCGAATGTTAATTCCAATGGAGAAACAAATTCAGCTGGGTTACCTTGCAATTAACAGCCTCATCCCTATAAATTAAAAATAAAATTTGGGGACATATATTCTTTCTTTGCCTGTAACTTTCGGTCTGATGACTTAAGATACAGTATCTACAAGAGAATTTTTATTCATAGAATTGAGTTTATGGACTTACACAGACTCCATATTAGTTTAGCTTTCCATAGTTAATCTTCTAAGACAACATTAAAATCTAATTAATTCTTCTTTCTCCCTATTCCTCAAACTGTTACTCTCTTCACACCATATACCATATCACTTGCATTTAATACACTGTAAATATTTTATGTATTCCTGTCTAATAGCAGTTTGTGCTGAATTTATAAATTGCAATGTGTTTTTATTTTAAGCAAAATATCATGGCACAGATCTTATGAAATAATTTTTTATAGTTACAAGAGTATAATTAAATTTGTTATGGCACTGATCCAATGTTCTTTGGTGAACAACTAAAGTGCCAAAGTAGAGACACTAACTTAGATTGACAGAATGTTAATTTTATATGGTACATAGTTTTATTTTCATGGTTGTAAATTATATGTTGTAAAACTTAACCACAATATTTTTACTTGAGACAAAACTGATTTTTTAAGAAAACAAGTTTATTTAAAGAAAAACATGAAGTAAATAATATGTGGACAGGGAAAAAATCAGGTAGCTGATACATGAGTGACTGAAAATTTGAGAGTCCAAAATTCTGATCTAAACTTGTTTATAGCCTAGAAAAATGGTTCCCTAACATCATACTTCTTAAGCCAGAATAAACAGAACTACTAACTCCCCACCATTTTTCAAAGAATTATCTTTAGAAAAAGTTTTAATGTGCCCTGTTTATTCCATGGAATATCATACCAGACACTTGAAAGAGAGAAAATGACATATTAGAGGGTATTTGACCAAAGCATATATGACTTTGATTTCCAATACCTGTTCCCTAACTATAAATTGTGTAACTGTAACCATGGACAATGTAAACAATGTTACTAAATTTTTCTTAAATAGCTCAGGATCTCTGCAACTCCTTAAAAACATCTATTTCACTATTCAATTTAATAGCTATGGAACATCTACCATCAAGCCATGTGCTCAGGGATACAAAGATAAATAAACCATGGTTCTTGTCCTCAAAGAGATTTACCACATAAGGCAGAAAACTTCTCTGTTACCTTTCTGAACTTCAGTTAAATATCAACCTGAGTGTCCTATATGTTTTGAAGTATTTGCTTTATGCACAGTGCTACTGTAA